CAAACGAAATGCTAAACACATTCTCACTGAGGCCAGTAACACAAATTCTTCTTCCACAGTTTGTAGTTTTGAATATACACGTCAAAATAGCAGTTCATTTTAAATAAAACAAAAGCTATAAAAAAAAACAGTCACCGATTAGACAATGGGTAACTTCTTACTGAGAGTCCAGAAAAAGGACAGTCCAATGTATTTTTAAAAATAAACTATATTCTGTGTAAACAGCCACTTCACAGCTTCCTAACAGCTATGTACCTGAATACAGGAGCCTTCTGAAAATGAACAGAAACAACCCGCTCCTATCGAGTCCGGATCTCAACACCAATGTACTGGTGACCCTCGCAATCAAGGATGCGCATCTGATACTTTCTCCAGAAAAATTAAAGAGGACGACTCAACGGGGGAAATGACTAACATCTAAAAATTAACACTCCCATGAACGGTTATTTTGCAAATGCACAGACATTAATGTTTTTCCATCGATTTGATCAATGTGGATACTTGGAATAATGCCGTTTGTGATACTAAAAGTCGAGACAATTGCCTTTTCGGTTATGAAGAGCCATGGGAATAACGAGCCTGTGAACACATTTTTGAGAAATCCAAAGGCCTGCGGTTTTAGACAGAGCTGTCACCCCTTTTCCCATTGGCTCACATGCATTTTTTTCTGGCTCTCCCGCTATCCTTTCGACTTCCTTACCTTTCCTCCTAAAAAACGACATGGTTGTTCTCGAGTTCGCAACGTTTTCTCAACTCAGTGAGCGCATCCTGCGTCCTTCCGCGTCCCCTCATTCATAGATCCCGATTTTCGCCCAAACTAGAGGGTGTTATTTCGCGGCGATACGGGCTGTCAAAGGCAAGACTTCCTCCTTCCCCCCACTGCAGACCCGGCAGCCATATTGTCAATAAACAGCTCACTTCCGGATTGCTGCAGTTGCACCATGGGTAATGCCTGGTTTGTTCATTGAAAAAAATCCGGCCAGTTGCAGTGATCGATTGGAGAAAGTCTGCGAGAGATTTAGACTAATCCTAAACAAGCAAACGTTACTGCACATAAGCAATAGATTTGATAGTGCAAGGTCAACAAAGGGAGGACCGAATTGTTGTGGGTTTGAATGACAAACTGTGAAATGGTACGTGTTCCTATGATTTGCTCCCAAATGCACATACGAAACTTGTTACGTAAACGGTCAAATGTTTGGGAAATGGATTCGCTGACATGTCGGTGTCTTGCAACCCTTAACTAAAGTGTTTTAAAACAGAATCAACTGATCGACTTGCTTTTACTTTTAGAGCACATTGAAAAACGAATCCGCTAATCAAGATCTTTTATAATATTTAAAAGCATAACCCTGTCATCTGCCACCCGCCTAAAAGAATGCAAAAGTTAAAGCAACTAGATTAAAATGTCTGCTGCGATTTCCTCATCATAAATGTGCAACAATAAGCGGGCATTTGTTTTGCTTTTTATCACCTTGCAAAGAATCGCAATGATTCGACCCTCGTCCCTGTACTTAAACACCACAGACAAGAAAATGTACGGTGATGTCAAATGTTTTTTTTAACTTCTAAAAAATAACCAAGTAAACAATACAAATGAAACATACTTTTTAAGGTAAAAAAATATGGTGTCTTGAAAAGATAATTTGCGTGAATGACAACAAGATTTAATATCCTTTTATTAGAAAAGTTGAAAAAACAAACATCCCTTCATTGGGTACTGAAGTATTGACAGGCTGAGAAATGAGGCTGAGGAAATGCTGTATATCATTAAGTGTTACTAAGTCCAGTGTTAAAGACAAGTCCCTTTACAAGCAGATACAGATAAATCCAGCATGAAGGACAACTTCTGATTCCCCTTTATATACAATAAGCAGATCTCTGGGTAAAAAAAGCACAAAAAAAGTTTTAAAAGTTCTTAATTCTAAATTCTCACCTTGTTCACCTTGAACATCTCACAGAAAGTAATGGCAAAAAATAATGAACCTACTAGGAGGCAGCAAAAAAACAGAAAAAATATAAGTGTTTATCAGTAGCTCATGATGGCAAATGTCTGTAAAATGCACCTAAATGTTAAGTACAAATTTGCCCAGAAATTAGCAGTTAAAAAGTATCAGGTGAAGTGTCATGGGGGGTTTGTTTTATAGCAAAAAAAATGACTGACAGATTACTCTATAAAAATGTATTTTATAACTGTAAAAACTGAAGTTCATTGATCAAAACCTTGTTGATCTCTTTT